CAATTACTAATTTTTTTAACTTTCTATTAAATCAGCATATCTTGTATTTAAACGTAACTTTGAAAATGCTTAGATTTAATCTTTGAAAATTGATTAATGTTTATCTTCATGTGAAGCTGCCGTATGATTTACCAAAGCCTGTTTGCTAGGGAAACGAAAAGGAGTTGAAAGTTGATTATTACAAAGCACCCTTCCAATTTCTATCTGCAATCAAGCAGATATTGATTTTTGTAAAATTTCAGTGAAGTTTTTGTATTTCCACGTTTAGATATTAACTTCCGATCCCTATTTGTGTACTTTTTAATAAGAATTCTGAAGAAGAAAAAAATTTATTAAGGGGTTCTTTACAGCAGGGGTGATTGTGAGCCCAAGTCAAAATTCCGGAAAATTTCTTGAGTTTAAAAAAAAAAAAAAAAGTTTAAATTGAAAAAAATTTAAACAAGGTTTTTTTTCCTTTTTCTCAATATTTCTTAGTTTACTATACTTAAAATTTTACACATACCTATGATGACCTGGAGAAGTAATTAGAATTTACAAATATGTCTTTCTTTCTTGAGTTTATGATTAATAACAAGTATTTACTGATAAAAAATTAATATTAATCATGAGTATATGCTTATAAAGTATCTCTCTGGCTCTCCCTTACAAACAAATAAAATAAACTGTGTTTTTAAGTTCCACCTTTGAAAATTTGATTTCCGGAAACTTCTGTGATCAATGATTTCTTGAAACATCTGGACCTTCGATCGCCGGAAATTTCCGGATCACTGTTAGCAAAAATTCCGGAAATCCGGATTTTTTCCGGAGCACAATCAGCCCTGTTTACAGAACACCCTATATATTTTTAGAATCCACGTCAAATATAAAGACAAAACGTATACACATTTAGGGTTGTAAATAAGGAATGGGAAAAAAAAACGAAAACACGATCGTATCGAAACTAACGTATCACTACTGAGGACAGTGGGACAGAAAATATCAAAGCCAGTCTGATAGCCAACGAAAACGTTAGATGGCGATTATAGTTGAAAGGCGATTATTTAATTGCCTCCGAGTTTCATGAAATAATCATACTGGCTCTGATGTTTTTATCCCACTTTCTTCGTTAGTGTTTCGGCATTTTTCGATAGCGCTTTCTCTTCTTTTTTTTTTTTTTCATGGACTAAAAATATTCTAAATAGAAAAAACATCCTATCAACAAATAAAACAACGTCAAGTTTTGATTTACACAGGTTACTGACTAACGATAATACACATAAGTATGATGACAATATTATACAAAGCAATAATTAATAAATACGATATTATTGTGAATGTAGCTGAATTGTATTTAGGTAATCAAAATATTAATACCAATGTGGAAATTTGATAATTTGAAAAATATCGCAATACATTTTTATAGATATCACGATATATATTATATTGCGATATTATTACTCATTAATCATGGGTATTGATGTTTGCGTGCGTGACAACTAAAAAATAACAGTCGCAAACACAAGGTGTCTAAAATCGATAAGTTGATGATGAGAGGGATAGGTAGATGAGTAGCGGATAAATACCCCAAAAGTACATAAATTATATATTTTGTACCATGAGATTATTAAGATTTAGATCAGTTAAGTCTGAACTTCTTGGTCTAAATATTAAGAAAAATTTTTAAAGGCAAAAATATTACCTCTAGGCTGGAAGAAAAAAAAGTTCAATAAATCTGTTGACAAGCTTATGTCCATTTTAATTACCAATTAGACGTGTGAAATAAAAAACTGATTTTAACTTTTAACATAAATACTCCATTGACTTAGTTATCCTGCTTTTTAGTTCTTACACATCATCTTTAAACTAAATTATTTTTTAAAGCTTTTTTATTTTTATTTTAGATGCATTATTTTACTGCTTTAGATCAGTGTATTCTTTTAATCACACTTAACACTAGATTGCCTGAGGAAGTCATTTTGACTGCTTTTAATTTCAATTAGAAAAACAATGACACGATTTCTTAGAATTTTGTACAACATATAATTTTTTTAGTGTTAATATTTACTAAAAACTTGATATATAACTGTAAATAATATAAAAAATATTATAACAAATTTCTTTACACATTATTTTTTTACAATCCAGTCATTTTGACTGCTTTTGGGCAATATAGGTAGGTATATACTAAGTTTCAATCTTTCTAGTGTTAAAAAAGTGCAAATTTATAGTAGTGAAGTTCCTTCCGTTTTGAAGAAAAAACACTTACAAATGAAATTCAATGGTTCGCATAATTAATAATAATTGCAAATAGGTACACAGTTTAATTTTAACAAAGCTATTAATTTATTATCACTCAAAGATGTCATTGAGATAATTTTTTATATATATATTTTTTTTAAACTTATGTTGTACTACACATTTTAATACGAATTCACGATACCATATAAACAAGTAAGAGACAGAAATTAAATCCACTCTCACTTGAACAAAATGAATTTATTATACTCGCATATTGTATTTATTTTTGGCTGTACGATTTTAAATCTCGAAATACTAGAACTTCCATTTATTAAAAAAGAGGACCAGCTGGTTGCGGAGGCGGCTATTACATGAATAAATTTAAAACTTCAACAAAACCGTTCGATTAGTACTAAAACAAAAATATTTCTTTTTTATTACGACTTTTTAATCCATTTTCACAATGCAGATTTTAATAAAGATAGCTAACTTCACTAACTCTTTGCTAAGAAAGCGCATTTTTCAAATTGTCAAATCTTGAACATAAATATCTTTTATCTGCTGTTTTAATTAGCTTTTACAATAAACTGAATAAAACTAAGACATCTACTTACTAAATTCTAAAAACGCGTAAAAAAATTAGAAAATTTACCTTCTAATAAATTTACCTCAGAAACAAGAAATAGATTTAATCTTCCTTTTAACAAAGTACCAAAAATGCACTTTTAATTTTTAAAATAAAATCCAACTATTTAATACTTAATAATAATTCAAATAAACGTTGTTGAATGCTAGAGGTAAGGGAAAAAGTCATTCCCTTAAATCCGCATCCATTAAACTCATAAACTTAAAACTAAGTAATTATTTTTTATGGCTATAGAATCGGTCGTTAAGTTTAACGATCAATTTAGCAGGAATGCTAAATTGAAAAAGGAGAAATGTTACAATGCCATAAAGTAAAAATTAATTTAAAAGAAGAATAGTTTCGAACTGAAAAATTGAGAAATCTGAATTATTTCCAATCAAATAAAAAGAATAAATAAATTTTATTCAATAAATATTTTGATTAGTAGCAGTAACTGGAACAATTAGAATTTAAAAGCTGGCTGAAAAATAGATAAAATTATTTGTTTTATGTATTTCCTGCATTTAATTCCACACATGTATAATTTTTTCTTCCTTTTATATTTTTTCAGAATTATTAATCTATTGATTTTTTTAAGAATTATTCATTCTTGATTTTGGTTCAATAATTCTTTTATTGACAAAAACATTTTGGGAATTTAAAAAATAATAAATAAATAAAAAAAACTAGAGTTTAATGGGGCCTTCGATTTACTGTTACGCTTCAACCAAAATGCATGCAACAGAACGAAATTACTAAAATGGTATGTTCATATGATTACACGACGAACCTGTTCATGAATAACAGGACGAATGCATTCACACCATAATAGAACGAATATGTTCTTCCATCGTACTTTCGAATGAAAAGGAAATTGTTATATTTGTATATTCAGTTGCTCAATATGCAAACATTCATTTTAACATGCGAATATATTGTAAAAATAACGTTTTTGAATTATCCCTATTTTTCGCGTCCTCTCTGTATTATTAACCCATACAGACTGAGTTTTAAATATTAACATAAACTTTGGGAATTAGAAAACATTATCCCGAATAGTTTAAATAAAAGCATTTTACTTCAAAGTTAATTAACTAATTTAACCGAACATGAGAACTAACAAAAGTAAGATTTTCCTTCATTTACACTGAATTTTAAAAAGAACTATCGCATAATCTGCATTAATGTTTCAGTTAGAAATATTGTACTATCATAAGCTTCTAAAAAATACTTTTATAATACACTAAACATAATTCATATAAAGTTGGATGAAGAAAACAGCATATAAAAGGCCCAAGCACAGAGAAGTATATAAAAAGTTTTCACTATATTGTTAGGGCATGAAAAAAAGATGCCCATTTTTTTCTTTTTCAAAACCCTAAATGTGTATAAATGACAAAACGTGTACAGCGCCATTCTGCGGTAATAAGCTTAACTACTGTTTTAGATGACTATTTAGCTTTCCTTTATAACTTTTTATTGAATTTATGAAATTATCTTATTGTTCTATTATTTTAATACCATAAAATGCTTGGCGGTCAAGCAGATGAGTTGTGAGAACGTCTGGTCGTTGTGCTTTTGTACTAAATTATATGACATAGTCTGTTCGTGACGCTGTATCGGTTAAATTCATTGATGGCGATAACCAACGCAAGAAATTCCTCCCTCAAAAAAATTAATAATAATTCAATTGTGTGCAACAGAACTTCGTGCTTTATGGCACGGTGAATTTGAGTGATTTTTTTTTAAAAATTAAATTGAGTTTATCGAGTGATTTTTTTAGATTTTTTTGAGTGAATTTCTCAGATTAATTGTTTTAAACCATAAACAAGTAAATAATTTTAAATTTTTTTAAAGTATTACCATTCACCACTGATGATTTTAAATGAATAATTTTAATAAAAACCTAAAAAATTAGCATTGTGCCTATTACTAATTTCCAATTGTCAACTTTAATATACACAGAATTTTGCAAACTAAGTAAGATGGTCAAATGCTGTAAAAGACAAAGTCTGGTATAAAAATAAGATAAAAGACAAAGTCTGGTGTCAAGAGAGAATAGATCAATGGGATATGTGATATGTTTGCTCAAAAAAAGGCAAATAACTTGAGAAGTTTTAAATTTGGGAAAGGGGTTAACGAAGTTTTAAATTCTTACCTCTGAGAAGAATTCTTCCATAAACTTACTACCTCTTGTGTCTTCAACACTGACTGCAAAGTCATCATCACCTTGTGCCTGAAATTATAAATAAAATATAATTTTTAAACTAAATAAATAGGAAAACAATAAACTATGAAGAAAAAAAACTAAAACTTTAACTAAAATAGACATAATGTATATGCATTGTAAAAAAAAAAATTAATTTCAAGAAACTTTCGAAGGGAAAAAATATAATTATTACTTTCTTAAGCAAAGCTTCCGTAAATTTAAATGCATAAAAGCTGCTATACAAATAAGTAAATAGAAAAATTTATTAAAAAATACTGTTCAATTTTGAGTTACGTTAACAATGAATTAAAATTTTTATGTTTAGTTACGTTAAATGATTTACTACCAGGGGTCCGTTAACGGACCCTTCACAAAATATCTTTTCATAAAAACGGACCCTTCACAAAATTATTTTTCTTTTAATCGGGCCCTTCATAAATTTCATTTTTGAAAATTTAATTTTCTTAATTATAATTTTACAGGGCTGGGCATAATCTTGTATCTATTTAGAATTTAAAAACTCCTTGAAAAAGTTTTTTACAATAACCAGACTCTATTTGCACAAATTCATAAAAGCAGGACCCTGGTTGAAAGAATGTGAGTAATTTTTTCACAATTTCACAAAAACCGGACCTTTCACAAAATGTCTGGACAGACCTCTGACTACAGTAAAAATTAAAATTCACATTCAGCTATCGAAACTTTTGTCGCAAAATTTTAAACTATACGTCGGTTATCAGGAGAGTGGTCAGAAGTTTGGACCCCTAAATGTTAATTTTACTTTTTGCATTTCTCGCCACATCTCGAGATTTTTTTAAGTGAATTTAAAAAAATTTGCACAAAATCATAAAATTCGCTTTTCTAAAGATAATTTTCATGTAAAAGATAAATGTAAATATTTATTATTTTTTATTATTTTATTTATTAATAATCGAAAAGTTTTGTAAGGTAAAGTAAACAATTTTTTAGCTAATTTTAAAGTATATAATTTTAAATGGCAAAGTACAAAATTTCGGCGAAATCGGCTAAATAGTTTCTAATAAATCGAATTTTAAATACTCGAAATACGAAAAAACGTAATACCTAAGTACGCACTATACACCAAATGGGTTATAATAAAAAAAAAAAAAAGTAACTTAAAATTCTACAATTTTAATGTAGAAAATTTTAATGAAGTAAATGTATGTACACATTTCATTTTGACAATTGCTTAATTAGCTAAATAAGTCTAAATCGGTAATTAAAAAAACATTGAGCATGCATAATTTATCTGATTATGCCAGAAAAATTAAGATTCTTTTCTGTTTTTAAGAAGAAAAAAGAAAGAAAATAATCCCAACCAAACATTTCACGACATGAGATTATTTTGAGTAATTAGTAATAAAAAAAGATATATTTAATCTTTAAGAGGTACGTTGTTAATTTTCTTTAAAAAAAAAAAAAAGGAGCATTAAAGATTATTAACTTCGTTGCAACAGCTTGCATTTTCTCGGAAAAAGAGTAGTGTTTAAGATTGCAATAAATTCTATTTTTTTTTTTTTTTTACAAGTGAAAAATCTTTAAAAATTAGGATTAAAGCAAATAGTATTTAAATTTTCTTTCATCTTTCAAAATTCTGTTTTTAAAGAAGAAATTAAATGAATAGAAAAATGGATATTTTATGAAGAATTAAAATAAAAATAAAAATTATATTTAGATTACTAGTTCTTAAATTTTAGATTCTATTTTCAAATGAAATACTATGAATTTGTATATTAGGAAACGTTCAGTTTTGCACTTTTGTGTTCTTAATGTTAACTTGTTAAATGTCAACTCGCAGAATTAATTAAGGTTGTCTTTATCTCATTTGCACGAATGATAGCAAGCGAACCATAGGAGCATAACACATACAGAAAAGATTTTTTTTTCTTTTTTCATGATTAATTAATAATAATAATTTTTATTTATTTGAGGGGTTCTCTGAGGAGACATCCATAAATAATGTCACGCTTGGAGGGGGTTCTTAATATTGAGACAGTTTATGAGAAGGGGTTGGAAGGGTAACCAGGTATGACGTCACACACTTTGTTTAAAATAAAAACATTTAAAATCAGCAGGTTAAACATTTTTAACATTCCTTTTTTCATTAATATAAGTACACCTCGAAGCATAATGCTCGCAAATGACATTAAAACACATTGTTAATTTTTTAAAAAAAAATTTGAAAAAAAAAAATCTTTAATGTAGTATTTTTTTTTTGGGGGGGGGGGACTTGGAATTGCATCGCAAGTACATGCTAGCATAATGCAGCGTGACTTGGGACATTTTGTCACAAAGGAGAGGAAGGGTTCAAAAATATTGAAACAATAATTGGACATCATATAACTTCGGTGAATAAAAAATAGCCTGCCTAATTTTAAAACACTGAACTACATCATGTAAACAGCACCAATGAATTACACCATTAATATATTAATAGTAAGAAATTCAAATTAGTAATTTTAAGAAATTTATTCTTAAAATTACTAATTTAATGTAATGTTTTTTTTCTTCTTTTCTTTTCCAATGCCCACATGTGTTAACATTTTTCGTCAATTCAGGCATTTACAGGGCAGATTTGTTGGCCTCTCTTTCAGGAGCACCATATTAGGTGGGAAAACGTTGCTCCCACAGTAAGTACAGATACAGAGAAGGAAAGAACATCCATGTCTTGCCCGGGATTCGAACCCAGAACCTTTCTGATGCAAGGGCAGTTCCCTAACCCCTACACAGGCCGGTCTGCATTAATGTAATGTTAAAAAATGTATTCTCTTCACACTTTTTGAAATTTTCACGTTTATTGTTTTCGCATTAAGGCACAGATTCTCTTCAAAATATTTAATCTTGTAGAATATCTGCGACTTCAAGTATGTCATCACACATATTCGACTACCATATTTTACCTAATGCAGCATTTTTTTTTAGAATGAAAGTTGTCGACCATTTGGCGGGATGCTGATAGGTATATCATGAATACTCTATCGGAAAACCATAATAAAAACATAAACTTGAACAAAGACAATAAAACAATCGATGTTCTGTTTTCGGGAAAATGAAGCCATAACTTTTTCTCTTAAATGATTCTGCAATTGGAAATTTTTGATAAAAGCCTCTTAAGTTGAGATTCATTTTGCTCTTGATGCAATAAGGAATATTTAATAAAGATTCAAGCATTAAATAATGGTGCAAATTTCAATAACAAGATGTGCACCGATTGCAGTGCTGATGTAAGCAATCGTCAGAGGTAGATGAGTCACGGATTAGAATGCCCTTGGGAAAACCCTGGGAAGTTTTCGTGCTTCATTCTCTACATGCAACACAAGTGCCGGTTATTTCCATCAAAGAGTCTTCCACGAAGGATAGTTTGTCCGAATGCTTGATCCAGGAGTTCCCTTGTCTTCTCGGTTGGGTTTAAAAAGTTAAGGAGCTGAACATTGCTTGTCGTAAATCCTAAAATTGAGCCGGCAGTTCAACGCCGGTTATAAAATAAAATAAACTAGATTAAATCCAAAAGAGGAAATAGTATGTTTTCTGCAAAGCACAAATCAAGTAAAGAAATGAACATACTATCTTTTCGGTCCTATAAAAAACAGCCTTCGTCAGTGCGCTAAACACCAGATAACAGTAGAAAAGTAACGAAACAAATACGGCGCAAGTGGTTTCACCACAGTAGGGACGGAAGAACTATCTTGAACAAAATAATAAGAGAATCCCAAACAACCTCACGCCAGATTCTTATCTCTCTTGTATTGTCTTATTCAAGTTTGTTCCTCTGTCCCTACTGGCTAAATTACCAAGCATTTGTCTGTCTCCTTACTTTTTTACTGTCATTTAGTGTTTAGACACTGAGATAGGTTCTTATTCATAAAAACGAAAAGGTAATATGTTTCAAAACTCATATTCGTGCTTTATTTACGACGTTTTGCTTTCTCCATGGAAAAAACATTTCAATTTTCAAAATGATATTACAATAAATACACATTAAAAAATTATTATTATACAAAACAATGATGTTCAATTCATAGTAAAGCTATTTTATTTAGAGAAAATTAAAATATAAAGCATACCTAAATAACTGCTATCAACTCGCTGCATTTACAAATAATACCTCAGAACTATTTCGTATAATTAAGACAAAATATATTCCTCACTCCCGAGTTTTCTCTAATCACGGGACAAAATGAAAGTGAATGATTTTCACCACATATTCATTAGATCTTGACATTTAATAATTCCCGGCATTGTTATATNAAGGAATATTAATTATTTTTCTCCACTAACTAGTTATTCAAATTCACAACGCAATTCAAATTAATGAGAGACACATTCTTAGGTACTGTTATATGTCTCCATAAAGCCAATATAACAGCATAAATGCTTGTTACGAAACAAGAAATAAATGTTGACAGATAACTCAAACAATTATCAGCAGAAGAATAGCGAATGAAACAATTCAATTTGCAACACGTATGGTCTAGAAATAGTTGATGAAAGATTAAATGAACTTTTCCATCCATCTAAGCCTATCTTCCTATCTCAAAAGTCAAATTAGTAAGTAAAGAAATTTAATTGATTGCAATAATATATAACGAGCTACAAAAATGAACAGTAATTGGAGAATCTTGGACTGAAACTTTGCTTAATTAACCAAAAAGTGCAATAACTTAATAACAAATTAAACTTGAGGTTAAAATTAATATACAGAACAAAATAAATATATAGAATACATAAACACATATATAAAATTTATGTTTAACTCTTTTAATCCGCAAATTTATGCAATACGGAATATTGAATTGATTTTTAACAATTTTATGCAAAAATAAATAGCTACTAAACTATGTCGATTTTAAAATAATTCTTGGGTTGCGAAACCACTAATTTCATGTGGCAACTGAAAAAAAAGGGGAAGAATGTGGGAATCCACGATCTAAATGCACAATAGATTTCACATTCACAACAAAAGGGTTTAAAGTAAGATGTAAAAAACTATTGAAAACAATTTGAAC